GGTATTTTCCAGTTTTCCACAAAGCCATCAGAACTTAGAGAGTTTTTTTTTTAATATTTTATTTATTTATTTGAGAGGCAGAGTTACAGACAGTGAGAGGGAGAGCCAGAGAGAAAGGTCCTCCTTCCACTGGTTCACGCTCCAAATGGCTGCAACGGCCGGAGCTGTGCTGATCCAAAGCCAGCAGCCAGGAGCTTCCTCCCAGTGTCCCACATAGGTGCAGGGGCCCAAGCACCTGGGCCATCCTCCACTGCCCTCCCAGGCCACAGCAGAGAGCTGGATTGGAAGAGGAGCAGCCAGGACTAGAATCGGTGCCCACATGGGATGCTGGCACCACAGGCGGAGGATTAACCTACTGTGTCATGGCGCCGGCCCTGCATTATCTTTTAATTATCTTTTCCCACAAACTTATTGATGTCCCATTGTACTTCCTAAATTTCTTCCTCAACCAGGACTTTGTTTTGTGCTTTTTCCCTTTCTAGCAACATACATGTCTGCTGGGGATACAAAGTTAGTGGAATGTAATTGTCTAAGAGGTTTCAGTGTGTTTTGCCTTTCTAATTGGCACGTGGCCCCTCTCTTTCCAGCACTGGTGCTGAGGCTCTCAGCAGCTGGGGTCCCAAGCCGTGGGCACCCGTGCCCTCCATGTGGATCCACCGTGTCCCTCTCTAGAGAGCTTAACTTTTGTCTGAATGGTCAGCCAACCTCTTGTGGCAGCTCCACTGCTGTGGTGGGGAGGCCCGAGAGGGTCTGCCCGTGCGTGCTCAGGTTGGGAGCCCACCTGGCAGCCCTGTGCATGCTACAGGAGGCGTGCCCTGGCTGGGACGCCAGACGTCCCGTCATTCAAGTGAGTCACCACACGGGGTGTCAGTCTGCTGTTGCTGCTACGCACTGCTTGCCCTGTCGGCCGCAGCCCAGGTGCTGCCAGCCTTTTAGCCTTACCTTCCTAGACGCTTAGTCCCTCACTGCCCAGTGAACGTCAAAGGCACTGACAGGACTTCTGGACTCGTGCTGAGGGCACAGCGGGCCAGCAGAGTGAAGCTGAGGTGAGGCTTCCAGTTGCATCCAAACCAAGGCAGCAGATGTGCTCCAGCTTAAGCTGTTGCTGCTGCTGCAGCTGGGCCTTGATGTGGGAGCCTGGCGCGACCCCAGGGTAGGGAAGGGGAGAACGCACTGCTGTGCTCAGCCCGATGACAGAGGATTGTGGAGCAGCCTTTGGGGTCATCTGCAAGACTGTCGTTAGAAAGTTATTTTCTCCGGTCTGAACCTCAATCATTTGTTATCCTTGGCATTAGTAGTGGGGAAAGAGGTAGAGAATTTGATATTGGAGGTTTCAGAGCCAAGAGTGAAACTGACCTTTCTTTCCTGTTGGCTTTTTAGGACAGAATGAAGTGGGGTTTTTGGGTTTTGTTGTTGTTGTTGTTGTTACTGTGTTTTGTCTGCTATCATTTTTAAGCAACTGATAGCCAGACACTTTTGTTCTGAAAGGAGAAATTTTAGATGACACAGAGTCCTGGGTCCTTGCCACCATCCCTATGCATCTTATGTTGTACTTACATCAATCAAAATAGGAAGCATCCCTGTCTCTTGGAGGAGCATTCGTAGGCATGCAGGCGTTGGGGTGTGCAGGCATTGTTATGGAATGCGAAATGCACAGTCCTATTTTTCATAGTATGCTTTGTGGGGTACAGGGAGATACTTTATTCATGGGTGTAACTAACATGTAACGATCAACTCACTAATTGGCCTTCCCATTTCTTTAATCTTAAAAAAGTGTGATTAAAATATAGCAACGGCAGGTGCCTTTTGGGTACAGCAAGACTTTCCAGTACAGGCATGAATATTCAGCATGCGCCCACCAAGTCAGGGCGATCAAAATCACCATCTCCCCACCCCAAGTTCAGAGAGTAGAGTTGACATTTATTGAGGAGACCCTGCAGCCAAATAAATAAAAGGCCTAATTTAGTAGCTTAAAAAGCATAGCAGTACTATTAGCGCATGCATTTTATTGTTCACACTAACTCAAACATGGTGGTAATAAATTGTAAACTGTACTCATTTTATAGCAAATAAATATTGCTATAACATTTACGAGCACAAGCAAACCAGTGAAAATCTGTTGGTGGGTAAAAGTTGTCGTTGATCTGTGGCAGTTGGCATGGCGACTGAAGGGTGAGCTCCTCGCACGGCTAAGAACACCCTGCCTTCCAGTGCTCTCCCATTTCAGACACCTGCTGACCGAGGACCACTTAGATACCTGAGGATGCGGGAGAACGTTCAAAACCCACATGGTGTTGATAGTGTGTTCCTCACTGTGCCTTTAGCCAAAGGTATAATTCGTGGTCCCAGACGCATTTTAAGAAATTATAGGTACTTTTTAACTGTCCGCCCTTGACCGAAGGGCCAGCCTACCTGGGGTCTACAGCCTGGGGCTGTTCTCTGGAGCCTCCCCATTGTCCCTGGTCACTGAGACTCGGGTTCTGGGCTGGGCCCAGGCCTTGCCTGCTAGATCGCTGTGTGGAGGCGACCTGGCTGATACAGGTCGGCATCTCTCATGCGTAGCAACCCCAGGAGAAGCTGAGGGCTACACGGCATGAATGAGATAGTGCTTCTCCCGGGCCTGAGATGGCCCAGCGGGAACAGCTGAGGAATCTTGCTGTCTGGTGGTGTGGTTCTTTTAATCTGACCCATGTTGTCAAGTACACATAAACTGTTGATGTCAGGGACCTTGGCAAATTTCTCTTACTGTCTTGATCAGTCTAAACGCTCAAGGAGGAGTCTTTGCTGAGTTGCAAAAAAAATAAAATAAATAATAATAAAAGAACCATATTCTTTAAATTTAAATTCTTCACTTCAATGAATTCCATGTGCTGTATGAATCTACCAGACAGAACACTGGAGGCAGGACTGTGGATTGTGTTGGAATTTACAATTGGGTTGAGTCTTATTGAGTCTGTCTGTTGCTGTATTCCCACTTTGCCCTGGAAATGTGGTAGGCATCTAGAGGAAATTCATAAATCAGCGGTAAGAATATTTCTCATGCTGTGGCTGGGTCTGTAGAGAAGCTAGGCATGAGCTGCAGACACAGAGCTGGTCCCACTGTCCCAGAGAGAGGCATTGTGCTGGAGCCCTAGGCTTGTGGTCACCTGTAGGCTGCATGGCCACAGGCAAGGCCCCAGCCACTGCGCCCAAGTTTTGCATCTGTCAAATGGAAAATACACCAGTGCCTGCTTTATTGGATTATGAGTTAAAAGAAAATCTACTGAATGTACTCACTCAATAATTATGTATTGGACACCTATAGGCACTATTTTAGACATTCAAGTACCGCAGTAACAAAAAGGACAAGCATTTCTGCCCTTTTGAAATTCCTACTCTGGAAATTCTGTTCATACAATGGCATTCAGCAGATGTTGAATTGGATTAGTCAAAGGATAGTTGATTGACATACGCAGTGGGTTTTATTGTGCATTTCTGTAGGCGTTCGTGTTAAGACAATGGGCAAGGGGGGCCGGCACTGTGGTGCAGCCAATTAAAGCCCCAGCCTGCAGTGCCAGCATCCCATTTGGGAACTGTTATCTCCTACAGGCACTGGTTCAAATTCCTGCTGCTCCACTTCTGATCCACCTCCCTGCTAATGATCCTGGGAAAGCAATGGAGGATGTCCCAAGTGCTTGGGCCCCTGCACGCACATGGGAGACCCAGAAAAGCTCTTGGCTTCTGGCTTTGGCCTGGCCTAGCCCCGGTCATTGGGGCCGTTTGGAGAGTGAACCAACAGATGGAAGACCTTTCTCTCGCTGTTTCTGCCTCTATCTGTAATTCTACCTTTCAAATAAATAAAAAGAAATATATTTTTTTAAAAGACAATAGTCAGTTAGGGCCATTATCTGGGCTCCTGTCTGAAGTGACGTAACCCTAGAGAAGTTCCATTAAGCAAGACAGTTACGTTCATGCTAAATCCCAGTATGCTTAGAAAGCCTGTTGCCCCGAGGCAGAGTTCTGTCATTTTCACTTCCTTAAATGCTTGAACCCAGCAGCTCAGCAGGCGGCTGAGATTCTGGGGCCGCGGGTGCTGCCGGGGCTGGCTGGTCGCCACATCTTCTGTCCACGGTGTGAGCGCTATCTGTGGCTTAACGTGATTTCACGGAGTTACGGAGGTGTTGGTGTCATTTGTGGAAATAAGTCAAAGGGCTTAGCGTGACCAGTTAATATCCACAAAGCAAGCTGCAGTGAGTCATTTCAACCTCTCCTCTCCAGCATTTTGGTCAGCCACCCGTCAAAGAACACAATGCACGAATTTTCAGGTTCAGTTGATGTTGTCTCCGTTGCCTTCCCCCGGGCTTCCTTGCTTTGAGCGTCAGAATCCACGAAAGGAAAAAGGGCAGGCCTAGAAAGCAAACCTCAGAGGAACTGTGCCCTGCCTGGGCCGGCAGGAGGTGACCCGAGAGGTTTGGAGTGTCCACGCCTGCTGTCGCTTTTCTGACGCAGTCACACATCCAATCGCCGGTGGCACATTGCCCATTGAGTGAAAAATGTAAACAGAAAATCGTTTTCTGGCTGAATGGCCCCTGTTTCCCTGAGAAATGGTCCTGTGTACTGAACCATAGCTTTAAACTCACAGCAGTGGAAGCCGAAGTCGCGTTATAAGCTAGCCCTGCGTCAGAACGAGGCGGTGGGCGTGGGGATCTGTGTCTGTGGCTTCAGGGCAGCGTTGACCCCTAGCTGGAGGTACAGTGCACGTGATGGACGCTCCTGTCACCTGGAAAGCAGTTGCTGTAGAGGGCAGAGAAATGTGTCCGTGTTCCAAGGCCAGGCATCCCTAGGACGACACGGCCATCTGGTCTGGACACCCGTGCCATGGCACTGGCAACACGTCGCTGGGGGTCAGGGCTCCTCCGGCCTGCTCCAGCTCCCTGTCCCCTGGCCTGCCATGAACCTCCTGTGCTCCCATTGTGGTTCCCTTGTGTGCTGACGAGTTTTCTGGTTGTTATGTCTTGCAGCCCCCCGAATCCAAGCCCAACATCACCCCTCTCGCCATCTTGGCCCATGTTCTCGGCGCCCTCCAGCCCTATGCCCACCTCATCCACGTCCAGCGACTCATCCCCCGCCAGGTCTGTTGCAGGGTTTGTTTGGTTTTCTGTTGCTGCTGCCGTTCTCTCATTGGCTTGGTCCTCTCTTCATGCAGTGTTCAGCCTCCTCGTCAACTTTGTTCCCTGCCATCCAAACCTGCACTTGCTTTTTGACAGGCCAGAAGAAGCAGTTCGCGAAGACTTCAGGTAAAATCATGGATGCTGACTGATATGTCCTTGTTTATCCAAAGCCGGGCAGGGCAACGGGGGCCACCTCTGCTGTCTGTCGCTGCACCCGCAGGACCCAAAGCCAGGCGGGACCGTTTGCGTGAACCAGGATGGCGTGGTTCACACCTCTCTAACCTTAACTCGAGTTTCTGGATTAATCCCTGGTGCCTGGAGTGTGGAGGACAGCAGCTCCTGAACCAGGTTATCGTTGTGGAAGCTCTGAGTCATGTGGGCTCTCCGTGGTTTGCTGGAAGAACTGTAAGAGGCACAGTGCTAAGACACACGCTGGCCTTTCCCTGTCATTTTTATCAGCATCCGGCAATGCTTATTTCGGAGGTTGGCCCACCAGCCATGAGCACTGACCCCGAGTCACTGAGACCGGATCCTCTGGTTGAGAGACAAACAGAACACAGAAGAAAAGATTCAGATGGGGAGCAGTTTCTGGATCGTTAATGGCTTCTGCCTCCCTGCTCAGCACTTCCCTCTGCCTCTGTCAGCAGCTCTGAGCTCTCAGGAGAGCAGGCACCACTTCTTTGTGAAGATGAGCAGGCTGACCTGATTCCTCCCCCGAGGGCCATGCTGTAGTTCTCCTTGCTTTTATGACATCCACACTCAAGTGCCACCATGCTTTGCTCCTGAGCTCTTTTTAATCGCAGTCCAGAGCTTAAAGGATCCTGCAGAATGCAGTCTCTGTGCTGTGTAGGTCTCCAGCAGGGGGATCTCTCCAAAGTCTGTGCTTTCAGACAACCAAAGCAGTCCCAATTCAGTGTGTCCCAAGCCTTAGGTGGTGCCACAGGTTTTATGCTCATCTTTTCTCCTAGGGCTGGGTCCATCAGAGAGGCTTACATAATTTATAAAGCAGAGTCTGTCTTTTAAAAAAAGAAAAACCTATGCTATTTCTATATCCCTGTATCATTATATTCCCCTCCAGACACTTGCACATCTATCATTTCATTCTGTCATCCCGAGAGAATGAGCCAGGAAATGGCCTGAACCCCATGACAGATCAAGAAAACCAAGGCACAGACAGGTAGCTGGGGACACGGTCATGTGACTGCATGAGAGCCAGTCTAGAAGCCAGGACCTCCCCTCAGCCCAAGCCTCTTTCCTCCAAGCACATGGGTCACCCCAACCTTAAATTTCTCTGCAGCTCCCAGCCCCAAAGCGTGGCCTGCTCTTCAGCATTTGATAGAGTTTTCTACCTAATTTTTCCTGAATGGTAGGAAAAAGAGAATATGGGAGACTCAACCATATTCTCCTGACATTCAGGTTATATTCTAATTACTTCTTTATTATCTTCTGGGTGCTTTGGGAGACATTAATGTTCTATGATCCCAGAGATGCTGCTGATTATTCTAGTTATATCACTGATGGGCCCATGAGCACCTGAACCAGAGTAATGTACAGTAGCCAGAGGCGGTCACCTTCCAAAAAGCCTCACTCGTTCATTAGAAAGACTGGGCTGTTAGGAGTCTGCGGCTCCTTCGTTTCCATCTATAGGGAATAAAAGCTTCAAAACACTTGCCCCTGAGCAAAAACGGGTTCCAGCACTCAGGGCAGCGTTTTCACTCAGTCAAGATAACTCAAATACACTCTGCTTTGATGGCATTAATTTTTTTGTCTCTGAGCAGATACCTATCTGTCAGGTATCTCCACCTCTCCAACTCCCTTTCATCCCTCAAAAAAAAATTCTAGATTCTTTTTTGTCTTCAGCTCCTCCTTTCCACCTCCCAAAGTTATTTCCAGATTGGCGGAAGATAGTCTGTTTAGCTGGTGTTATTTGGGGTCATGGTTACTCCATACTGCCCCCTCTGGCCATTGGTAGACTAGCACCATTTGGCCAATGCTGTTTCACAATCTTCTTGGAAACTGCCATATTGAAATAGGTGAAGCAGAGTAGGGCCTGGAATTGGCTGTCACTGAGCTAAACGTGTGCCCGGGTGAGTACAGGTAGGGACACTGCTGGGGAGCCGGCCTGTCAGAAACAGAGAGGCCTGAAATGCCCTAACTGTTATTGCAGTGTGCAGCCAAGAGGTGGGGGCATACGCCTATTATTCAGGTGCAGTCTACCCCAACGCCACCCCCAAATCCTTTCCCGGAACATGGAACTTCATATTCCCTTCCCTGGGCAGGGTTTCACAAGTAGATTCCAGAAGGACTTAATCGATGGGCCCATGAGTTTGTACACGAGGCCTCCCCTGGGAAGGCTGCTTCTTGCCTCATCAGACCCTTTTTAAGGGCTGAAAATTTCAAGTTGAAGGGTGAAGGGAGATTTATTTGAAAGATAATGTCATGAATAAATCTCCTACCTACTTGTTCACTTCCCAAATGGCTGCAACAGCCGGGGCTAGAGCAGGGTGAAGCCAGGAGCCTGGGACTCCATCCAGGTCTCCCACGTGGGTGGCAGTGGCCCAAGTACTCCCTTCCCAGGTGCATTGGCAGGAAGCTAGACGCAGAGCAGCTGAGACTTGAACCAGCACTCCGCTGTGGGATGCCCGCATTGCAGGCGACAGCTTAGCCTGCTGGGCCAGTACCAGCCCCTGCAGGTGCTTTGTGCAGCAACATCAGAAAAAGAGCAGTAGAGGGTCATTCCCTTCACATTCCTCTTTCCTTTCCCTTGCACTCCCCTCTCAAAAATCTGCCAGCCACAAACCTTTACCTTGCATTTGTGCAGGGTGCCCTGGAAATTGTGCCTCAATGATGAAGCCCTTGCAGCCTGCCTGGCTGGGCTGCTCCTGACCCCCACCCCAAATGTCCCAACATAGAGAGTGGGCCATCATTTGGCAAGACTTGCAAGGGCATTTGAGGGAAACTCTGAGTGCTTTCCTGGCTTCATGCCATGCTCCAAGGGGAAAATGAAAAGTGAACTAACAGAGGGATCCAAACTCACTCATAACCTTGAAGGCCAAGCTTAGGTCTGAAGGGCACTGTGACAGGAGCAGCTGAAACCATCCCAGGGTTGCTGTGGCCAGCATGGAGATGCACTGCAGGGTGAGGTAGGAAGCCAAAGAACCAAAGATGCTTGTTAGGGAGTTTTTCTTTTCCTAATGAGAGCCAAAGCCTACAAACACAGCCTGTCTGCCAACAGGATCTGTCTGTTTGGGTAAGAACTCTACCTAAAGGAAACTCCTTGAGGCTTTTGAGAAGGAGTTATGGGACACAGGGCTTGTGAAGCTAACATACTTTTAAAAAGATAAGATTCCATCTTTCCCCCCACTGCAGAACCTGGGAGGCAGCAGGTGGTGACTCAAGTAGTCGGGTCCCTGCCACCCGCAAGGGAGACCTGGATTGAATTCTCCGCTCCGAGCTCAGGCCAGCCCCAGCCCTCGCCCTTGCAGGTATTTAGGGAGTGGCGCAGCTCTGATGGTAGCATGTTCTCTGTCTCTCTCCCTCCCCCCGACCCAACCAAACAAGTAATTTTTTTTAATAAACAAAGGCTAAGTTTATGTTGGTTTAAAAAATTTTGAAATCCATGCATTGTGTGCATTTTTTTCATGAACTTTTTGAAATGCCCCAGTACATATACGAACAAACAATTTTTCGTCCGAGATGCAGTTGTAACTAGGTGTCCTGCGTGTTAGCCTTACTCCTCCTGACAGGGGCGGCCCCTTCCAGAGGCACCTGTGTGTCCTTCCCACCTGTGTACACATCCTGTAGGGGCGGGGGCAGTCTTTCCCGCAGACTGACAGTCACCTGTGAACTGGGCGGAAAAACAAGGCCCTGTCCTGATCTTCATTTTCACTTTTAGTGGACTCTCTTGTTGTGGCTTTGTTGCTTGATTCCAACAAGCTAATGAGCATGGAAGATTACTCCTTGTGAATGAGTATCTCGGGCCCCTGAGACCACTGCCTGTGAGCTCTGCATCCCCAGTGCCCCCGCTGCCTCCTGTGACTGGCACCCATCTTGTCCCATGAGCAGTGAGTTTAGTAAGTAACTTTGGCATAAATGGAGCCCATGCTGCCTGGAACCTAAGCTTCCCAGGCCCTGACACATGCCCCTGTGTGAACTGCATGCCCCTTCCGCCTTCCCCATCCTGAGGGTGTCCACTCACCTGGGGGGCCAGTTCATCACCTTTCACAGCCAGGTACTCCTCTCTGCTCCCCACCTCCTCGGAAAAAAAATAAGCACACAGAAAACAAAACAAAACTCATTTTTGCTGCCCAGAAAGACACACACTGGGGGCTCGGCCCTTGCTGGCCAGGGTGCAGGCTTGGCTTGGTCAACTCACGGAGTGCACTGCTTGTCCCGAGCCTTATTCCTTAGTGATCACTGGGCAGGAAGAGCTATTTTCCAGTCGCCCAGAGCTCCTCACTCCCGGCGGCCCCACTTCATCTTCTCCCACCTGGGCATCATCTCTTGGCTACTAGAAAACCCGAGAGAACAATAAATAGTCAGCTGTGCCTTAGCAGCAGGTCCTGGATAATCATTCGCTGTAACCGTCCTGCCCAACAGACCTCTTATGGGATTTTTTTCCCCCTTCGGTTTTCATGGAACCAAGACTGGAAGGTTTTGGTGCTTGGCCCTGATAGGCATAGGTTTCTGCATTCGTGCCTGCTTTTTCTCAAAGGGATGGCAGACTTGGTGATTCCAAGAACTAACCATCCCAGAACAGCCCAGGACGTGCTGCCCCGTCCGATTCTGCTTGGATTTGTCCACGAGCAGACTGTTCCTTGGTTCAGTCTGATTTTGCCTCTGGGCTCTCCATTAGTCATATGAAGATACAGGAAATATTATGTACGCCTCCAATAATTTTCCAACCCAGATAGCCTATTTGCTGTGTTTTAATTCTGCCCTTGAGCTCTAAACTGTCATTGCTCTGATGGCTAGGGGAGAGTAAGATCCCTTTTGTCAAATAAGAGCAACTTTTGACTATTAAATGTCATTCCTGTGACTCTGGAGAAGTCTCTGAATTAGTGGAAACTAGTTGGATATCAAAGCAAACATTGAGCTGGCGCCGCGGCTCACTAGGCTGATCCTCCGCCTTGCGGCGCCGGCACACCGGGTTCTAGTCCCAGTCGGGGCGCCGGATTCTGTCCCAGTTGCCCCTCTTCCAGGCCAGCTCTCTGCTGTGGCCAGGGAGTGCAGTGGAGGATGGCCCAAGTGCTTGGGCCCTGCACCCCATGGGAGACCAGGATAAGTACCTGGCTCCTAGCTTCAGATCAGCGCGGTGTGCTGGCCGCAGCGCGCCAGCCACGGTAGCCATTGGAGGGTGAACCAACGGCAAAGGAAGACCTTTCTCTCTCTCTCTCTCTCACTGTCCACTCTGCCTGTCAAAAAATAAATAAATAAATAAATAAATAGCAAACATTGAGAGAAAGCCACGTTTACCGGCTCACACGAATTACTTTCTAGAACACCGGTTAGTAAACCATGGCTTGTAGTGGGTCCAATCCTGTTCACTGCTGGTTTTCCATAAATAAAGTTTTATTGGAACACAGCCACATGAATGTGTTTACATGTTGTCTATGGCTGCGTTTCAGCGGTGATGTGGAGTTGGATCATGCAACAGTGACCATGTGGCCCATGAAACCTAAAACATTTACTCTCTGGCCTATTGCAGCAAAGACACCCAGTGCCTCCGTTGGCATCTGCAAGTCCATAGCACACAGACACCTGCATTTTCTGAGCGCTCCACAGGTGGTTCCAATGTCCAAGTGAGAGTGCTTGTCAATGCTCACTGGACACGAGGGCCAAAACGCCTGCTGTCCCGCCTCTGTTCTTCCTCCTCCCCCCACCCTCGGCTGCACATGTGTGCTCATGCACACACATGGGCAGCTGCTCACACACACCCCCCTTCCATGTTCCCTGCCAGACTCGGGGTGCTGGGGAGTCCTGCCCCACAGCAAGACCCAGCCTGGGAAGAAGTAAGCAACATCTGGGAGCGCTAATGTCAGCCCATGGCCTGCAGCCCAAACCTGGCTCTGCTAGAATTTCTCCTTTCCGACTCGGCGAGCGTTGCCAGCTTTCAACAGAGCCTGTTTGCGAGCATTCTCCAGGGCAGCTTGGATGTTCTTTCCTGTCCCCACCCCAGGCGCAGCCCCCAGGGTACCCCAGGCTCCAAAAATGGGGCCCAGCCTGCCCTCCCTTCCACTGTGGCGGCGTCGCAGCTGAAGTGTTAACGCGGCCCAAGGTGACCCCACAAGAAGCCTGGTTTCCTGGAGCTCCCAGCCTTCCTCTGAATATATCTCATTTTTCTCCTGTGACCTGTGCAACTTTTCCACCTCCTGTCTCGCCATCTGGCTGCCTGGCCGGGCTCTGCCACGGGAGAGGGCTGGGCGGCTCGCAGAGCAAGGAGAGAAGAGACGTTTGATATCTGGAGCTTTCTGGGGGGAGGTAAGAGAATGTTAAAGAAATTCCTGTTTCCACACAGCACACCGTTCCGGAAGGCAAAAGCCTTGTACGCCTGCAAAGCTGAACACGACTCGGAGCTCTCGTTCGCAGCAGGCACAGTCTTCGATAATGGTGAGTTCCATGTCCCTTCTCAGAGGGACGGTGGGGAGAGCAAGTCCATAATGAGTGTTTTCAAAGTTGCTGCTGGGGGTGCCTGTGTGTGTGTGTGTGTGTGTGTGTGTGCGTGTTGTCCTAAAGTAAGAGAGCAGCAGCAGGACATCTGGACGCCTGGACCAGTGTAATCAGCTTGCTGTTGAACAGGCAATGAGATGGTGCCCAGTACCTTGAGGTGGTTTTATACAACTGGGGGCTGGACAGAGTACCAGCCACTGGGGTGGAGAACAGGGGTGGGCTGTAGTTGGTCAGGAGCACTGGGTGAGGTTAAAGTCACCCATTGTGTGACCTTCTCCTCTTGCGTTCTGTGGCATCCACTCTCCCCTGCAGGCCAGACAGATGTCCCTGATGGCAGGCCTTTGGCAGACGCCAGGGTGCTGAGCCTCACTGAGCTCTTGTCCATCCTCCCTTTAACTTTTGGGACAGCAGTGTAGACCACCCACAGTCAAACCACCCTGCAAGCTGCCAGCTGCCCCGCCTCAGTGTCCCGGTGTGAAAATGGATCCATGGCGGGTACCACAGGCAGCTGAGATCTGGTACTTGCTAAATGCACCTCTTCGAGTGCACTGCTTTCTCCTTTTTCTTTTCACTTCCTAAAAATTTATTTGAAGTGAGCATTGTTACCAGAGTGTGTTTTGACTTGTAATTTACGTGAGAGAAAAATCTGGAGTCTAGGGGCAAGTCCACATTTCTTTTACAGCTTAGCTCTTCCCGGGGGACGTCTCCCTCAGGGTGCGTCTTCCTGGATCCCTGGCCACAAGGGCCTGTTCCATTTGCTCGGAGAAGGAAGCCTGCTTTCAGGAGCTACACATTTTCTCCGCTGCTTCCCCAGCTTCAGGTGGGGTGGGGACACACATCTTGGGAAAGAGTGAGTGTGCATCGCAGAAGCGCCCGCATCCCACCTGGGCAACCCCTGCTCCTGCCCAGTGCTGCAGAGCCTGCGCTCTGAGTGTGGCCCTGTGGCCACGCGGTGCAAGTCTGGGCAAGACCACCCGTCCTGTGTGACCTCGGACAGGGACTTACCCTCTCTCTGCACTCGTTCTCTCCTCTAGCTTAAAAGTGTGTGGGAAAAGACTTAAATGATAAATTTATTTAGGTTCAAAACATTTTGGAAATGCAAGCGTAGTTTTCTGTGGTACATGTTGTCAGTGAACTTTCTGAAGACCTCTTGTAAAATATCGTGAGAGGCAATCGAGGCACAGTGTATCCACCGCATGTTTCACGGGGGACCCGCCATGTTATTACTGTTGGGATCAGCGCCATCATCATTATCACACAAGACCCTGACACTCCAGGCCCCTGCGGACTAGCCTTTGGCTGCATCCATGTCCAGAGGACCTGCCACCCTGTGTGCTAGCCTGTAGGTATCATCTGGTAGGGAGGTGGATCAGGTGTGGGCAAGCAGAATGGAAAACATGGTACAGAGCCCCAGGAGATTCGCAGGTGCCGCCCGCCCTGGACCAAAGGGAGTGGGGTCCAGGGTCCCATGGGGCCTATAGAACCTGCGTCCCTTCTGACTGTGCTCCAAGCACTGCCCACAAGCCTTTGACCATTCATTTTCATTTGGGTCCTTTACAAATCAAGGCGGAAAAGCTGCCAGCCCAGCCGGCTCTCCTGTCGACAGCTGGCGCCCTCGGCCCCAGGACACTGCAGGTGCAGTCAGTGGGCCTGCTGCAGGCTGGCCAGAGCCACACCCTGGAGAGTACCCCTCCCAGGAGGCCCAGGTGGAAGGGTCGCAGGCCACCTATCACTGCAGACCCTGCAGAATGGGCGGCACAGCTGGGCTCTGACCGCCTCTGCCAGCGAGGGAGGGGCTTCTGCCTATTCCTGAGCATGTGGGAGTGAATCTGAGGCTTTGGGATCTGTCCTCTAAGTCCCAGCTCACTGCTGATGTGGGCAGGGGGGCAGCATGGGCCTGTCACCTGTTCACCCGGGCAGCACGATGGCCCCTTGAACTCAGGGGCGGAATAGCTTCCAACTTTGAAAGGGCTCCTATATTCTGGTTTGTGACTCCTTTTAGTGAATGCAGCCACCTTTCATGTTTTTAACAGCTGTATTCAGTCATCAGATACCATACAAGTAACATACAGAATGTAGGCGTCAGTGGTTTTTAGTACACTACAAGTTGTGATGTATTTTTGTCACCTGCAAAAGAAACCCCATGGTCTTTAGCAGTATTTTTTTTCCTGCTTTTTGTGTGGTGTTTTAAATGTTTGTCCATGTTGGCTGGTACCGTGGCTCAATAAGCTAATCCTCCGCCTGTAGCGCTGGCACCCTGGGTTCTAGTCCCGGTCGGGGCGCCGGATTCTGTCCCCGTCGCTCCTCTTCCAGTCCAGCTCTCTGCTGTGGCCCGGGAGTGCAGTGGAGGATGGCCCAAGTGCTTGGGCCCTGCACCCCATGGGAGACCAGGAGAAGTACCTGGCTCCTTGGCTTCGGATCAGCACGGTGCGCCAGCCGCAGCGGCCATTGGGAGGTGAACCAATGGAAAAGGAAGACCTTTCTCTCTCTCTCTCTCTCTCACTGTCCGCACTGTCCGCTCTGCCTGTCCAAAAAAAAAAAAAAAAAAAGGGTTTGTCCATGTTGTAACATGTGACAGAACCCTCATTGCTGTTCACGGCTGAGTACTATTCCATTGAATGGATAGACCACACTTTATTTCACGTTTTTTCAGTTGGTGGATGTTTTGATGGTTTCTACTTTGTTGTGAATCACGCTGCTTTGAACCTTTATGGACAGATTTGTTGAGGATGCGTGTTTTCATGGCTCTTGGAGATAGATACCTAGGGGGGAATTGTTGGCTCACATAGTAACCCTGGGTGTAACTCTTGGAAGAAGGGGCCAGCTGTTGGGCAGAGTGGCCCATTTTGCATTGCCAACGCCTTTCATTGCTAAGGCCCCTTTTAGAAGAAAGAACCTTACGGTGTTAAAGCAACACACACACACACATAAAAAGGCACCAGACAAGTTCTCAGTGGCCGTGCCCATCCACACCTGGTTGACAGCAGGTGTGGGGTCTTGCCCAAGCCCTCCATGGCATCTGGGCGTCATGGGTTGGCTCACAGATGCGAGCTTGCATTTCAGCAGCAGTGCCCTGACCCTGTAGATTCCCTGAAGAGCAGAGCCAAAGGAAACCTGGAGGAGAACAGCCCTTGGCGTCGGAGAGGGCGCTGGGGAAACGCTAGGCTGCTGTTGAGATGGGTTTGCCTGGCAGTCTTTTATTAGAAGCTACTCGTGGAGGAGCCTGCTGCCCATACCCTGGCTTTTCCCCACTCCCCTCACCTCTGTAGGAGAAGAGAGGCCATGCAGGAGGGAAAATAACGGGGTGTTGGGGGTGGGGGCGGTGTTTTTATCCTTGTTAGATCTCTTGTTGGTTTACCGCTGCAGGTATTAGGTCAGGGCTGTTTAACTTGGATGCAGCATACCTGTCAATCATCAGAGCAGTCAGAAGCAGGTTTCCTAATGACAGGTTGAGCGCGTGCACGCGTGTGTGTGTGTGTGTGTGTGTGGTATTTATCAGGATTAAGGAGGAGGAAGAGGAGGGCTCACCGAGGGGCAGGCCTGTGGGTTCCTAATGAGCAGTCTCGCAGCCCTTGGTGTCCACGGGGCCCCTGCGGGGCCTGCAGAGCAGCTGCTGAGTCAGCGCCTGGACTTTGTGCGCTGGGGCATGGATGCGCAATACTCGGAAGTAACTCCAGCGTCAGCCCCGGCAGCGCTACTAGGAAACTCGCCCGCTGGAGCACTTCGCACAGTAACTGGAAAGAGCAGTCACTCAGGTTCTCAGGAACAGAGGCCCCTGCAGGCAGCGTGATTCGTGATACCTGGAAAGCTCTCGTGGCCGTCACTAAAATTGGGTTCTTGGGATGCTTTAATCACGACTCGAGATGAGCTGGAGCTGGAGCCCTTCCCAGGACACCCGGACACAGCCGCGGAGAGGCCGCGAGCTCACCAGGAAGCTGGGTCACTGGACGGCCCCTCCCATGGCCATCTCCAGTGCACATCTGTGGCCAGGCCACCTCTGCCTCTCACCTGGGTGTCTCTGCTGGCCTCCTAGCATGTGCCATTGCTTCCGCTCCTGCCGTCATAACCCACTGTCTACACAGCCGCCAGAGCATCCTTTGAAAGGGAGCCGCCACTAGGCTAATCCTCCACCTAGCGGCGCCGGCACACCAGGTTCTAGTCCCGGTCGGGGAGCCAGATTCTGTCCCGGTTGCCCCTCTTCCAGGCCAGCTCTCTGCTGTGGCCAGGGAGTGCAATGGAGGATGGCCCAAGTGCTTGGGCCCTGCACCCGCAATGGGAGACCAGGAGAAACACCTGGTTCCTGCCTTCGGATCAGTGCGGTGCGCCAGCCGCAGTGTGCCGCAGCGTGCCGCAGCAGCGGCCATTGGAGGGTGAACCAACGGCAAAGGAAGACCTTTCTCTCTGTCTCTCTCTCTCACTGTCCACTCTGCCTGTCAAAAAAAAAAAGGGAGCTGCATCGTGTCACTGCCCTGCATCGTACTGTGGTCCCTCTGATTACAGAGGCCTGCCTTGGCCCAGCCCCTGCCCCTCTGACCTCTCAACCTCATGGCCACACTGCAGCCGCGCAGGCGTTATGTCCTCGGGTAGGGTCAGCACACTGTGACCCGCCGGTCAAGTCCAACCTGTCCCTTGTTTGTGTCAATAAAGCTTTATTGAAACACAGCCACCTGTGCTTTTCTGTGTGCACATTCTCTGTGGCACTCTGCTCGCTGAGTAGGGAGGTGAGTTCACCATGAGGCCCTCTAAGGAAACTTTGCAGACCCCGTTCCCAATACCTTCTCAGGGCCTTTGCACGTGCACTGCCCGCTGCCTGGCTGGCTCCATTGTGGCACTGAGGTTTCCGCTTTCTAAGCTCCTCTCCACCCACCCACATGCCTCTCCCAATCTCTGTCTCCCTGTTCTCCCCTGCCCAAAACGACCTATTTGTTTGTTGTCGCTTCCCACGAGCAGGTTTCTGACTGCCTGTTCTCTTCTGTGTGAGAGGACTTAGCCCAGGCTCTGGCACATCGTGGATGCCCAGTAAGTATCTGTTCAAGGGGCAGATGTATTTTAATGACCCAGAGAGCTGTGCCACTTCCCATTAAGGTTTCTCCCCCTTGGGGCAGCCACCCCTTCTAGGTTGCAGTCACACGCGTGCTGTTTGTCCACAATGAGCAAGGAAGGGGAGAAGAGCAGTCGCATGTGCAGAATGCGTGCTGATTCTAGGGACAGAGCTGAGAGAGAGTGGCTGGCGGGGAGCTCGCCACAGTCCAGAGGGTTGGCCTCTGGTGCAGCTAAGCCCACCAAGACCTCCCTGAGCATATTCCGTGCTCGGAGCAGCGGGGAGGGTAGAACGAGTAGAGTGGAAGAGCGCAGGTGCCAGGGTCGTGTGTCCTGGGCTCGGATGCTCCTCCGTCAGCCAGCAGCTGTGTGAGATGGAGCCTCGGGCCTCACCTCTCTGAGCCTCGGCCTTGTTTGTCAGTAAGATGAGGAGCATAGAAATGGAAGTGATGTGCAGCCAAGGGTCCACCGCTCCGCGTTGGCGCGGCCCACCTGGTGTCATCCCCACCCTCCAGATCCCGTTCTGTGCTTGAAAAGAGGTGGCAGAGAGCGCGACGGGACTTGATCTCCACGTCAGACGAGCTGGGGTCAGATTCCCTTCTACCGCTAGGACATTTACCGCCCGCCCTGTGCTTCTGTAAGATGGCGATGATAATAGCAAAGCTGGAGTCCGTGAGGACGAGCAGATCCATCAGTGTGGTTAGGCTCCGGAGCTCGTGACCTCTGCACGGCCAGCGTGTCTGAGTGTTAGAGGCCATCGTCCTAATTCAGGAGGCAGAGGGAGTTCCTGATGGTTGTTGAGCCTGGGAGTGCTGTGACGCACACTGAAATGCAGCCAAGAGCAAGGCAGAGAAGCAAAGTGTAACGTGTGTGTGAGGCAGCTTCACAGGGGTCCGGAGGAGGCGGGAGCAGGTGGAAAGGAAGCCACGATACTACTTACAAAGGAGGTGGGCTGTGGCACAGGCAGCAAACGACAGCAGAAAAGAGCAGGGGGGACCCAGGAGGCGCCTCTGTCTTCCAAGTTGATGACAATTTGCATATTAAATCTTAGTAGGATTTTTAATACAGAGATGTTTGAACACAGAAAACCATCACTTTTTAACTTTCTTTGGGCCACTTAAAATACAGGTTCCCACCCACCCACCCACACACACACACACCCGAACCTGAATTGCTGCTTTAGCTGGTTTGCCAGGGCTTCCCAAGACTGTGCAGTTTTAATCAGCAGCCAGGCGATCCTTATGCCCGTGGTCCAGCACTGTACTTGGGTGGCCCTGATTTGAAGTCCCCAGTGAGTCAGCAGTTCTGACCCAAAGGCTGCTGTGGCGCCTGCTGTCTTTCTGGGATTCCCTTGTCCCCTGTGACTCCTCCCACAGGCTACAGATTCTATTTCTGATGCTTGCGGGTGTGATGCCCTTGGTACCCGTGCTGTGTCTGAACGCTGGCCGGGCAGGAGCAAAGGTCACAAGAGGCTGGGCCCAGGCACTCTGTGGGGTTACAGAGTCTCGCTGGATTCTTTAAAGTGCAAGGGCTGTTTCTTGGCTTTTTGTTTGTGTGTCTGGCTTATTCTTTCTAAGTCTTTTATTTTGGAGAATGGCCTTGACTTGTAGATTTTTTCAAGATTTTATTTTATTTATTTGAAAGAGTTGCAAGAGGGGTAGAGCCAGAGAGAGAGAAAGGTCTTCCATCTACTGGTTCACTTCCCAAATGACCGCAATGGCCAGAGCTGAGCTGATCTGAAGCCAGGAGCCAGGAGCTTCTTCAAGGTCTCCCAGGCAAATGCAGGGGCCCAAGCACTTTGGGCCATCTTCTACTGCTTTCCCAGGCCCTAAGAGGGAGCCTGATTGGAAGTGGAGCAGCTGGCACACAAACCAGCGCCTATACGGGATGTCAGCCCTATAGGTCAGGGCTTTAATCCACTGTACCACATCGCCGGCCCCAGTCCTAAACATTCGAGGATCCCTGAAGTTTAGATGGGTCTTGAGACCAGGCCCTTACACAGGCTTCACCAGGAGGGAGCCTTGGTGACCAGCGCACCTCGCCCAGGGTCCATGGCAGACCCACCTGTTCCGAGCATTTGCCCTGCACCTGGCTCAGTGTACAGCACTTCTCCCACACAGGATCTTTCCAACTGCTAAGAGCCCACTGAGGGGGACAGAGTTCCATGGTCACCAACTGCGAGGTGCAGAAACGGAAGAGGTGGTGGCAGCTTGAGCTGGAGGATGGGGAATTTGGGAGCTAGCATGGGAGAGCTCTGGTGCTGAGAGAGCTGGGTGTGTCCTTTCGTGGCTGTTCTCTCCAAGACTCTGCCTCCTGTGGGTTGTCATGGATCCAAAGTGTCCTTGCTGCTCTGGGTTTGTTCTGTGAGCCTCCTGAAGGGAGGTTGTGCACACATCGCAGAGCCGACTCATGGATCTTTGGCCTTGTCTTTCCTGGAGGAAGCTTCCAGGTCTAGATGAACTTGACATTGGTCTTGTTGAAGCTTCAGTGTCTGTCCTGCTGCTGCCTCCTTGTTTTCTTCCTTTGGTTTCTGGTCTTGTTTCTTTTGCCATGAAGTGAAACTGGAATTATACAGTAGTGTTGGGACGGAAATGCTTTTCTAAAACAAGCTCAGGAAGTCACTTAATTAGCACAGGAAGGGAATAGGGGAAAATTGATTCTCTCCAAACAATCTCGGAAAATTAGTTTTCCTGAGAGGCTGAGAGTAAATGCCCCACGGTGATCTGTACCTTCCCGGTTCACGGGCATGAGCAGCCCCCAACTCCTGGTCCCACGATGCCTTCCGTCTTCCTCCCTGCTGTGGACTCCTTTGCACACACGGCTGGATTTTATGTAATTCTCCAGTTTCCATGGAGATGGATCATGATGTCACAGACTGGATAGATACCGGATACTGACAAAGAGGCAGTCGTTTTGGATGTTGCCTTAGAGAGAAGAGGATGGCTTTCCGATTTGTACTCAGGGAGGGAAATGCTAGGGAGTAGGAAAGAAAACTGAGAAAGGCTGTGGGTGGAAAAGAGGACTGTTGAAAGGTTGTAAAATGAAGTTTTAAAAAGCACTAGGGAGTTTGCAAGGATATTCATAGCAGGGGGCCAGCAGCTTATGGAAAGTAAAATGCAAGATCAGGACCTGGGCATCAGCAGCAGTAGTTCCTGGGAGAGCTGCGTGGCACTTTGCCTGGTGCATAGTTGCTGCTGGTTGGGTGGATGGGGCGTGGGTGGATGAATGGATGGATGGATGCAGACATAAATCGAGCTGTGCCTCTGTTGACCTGTAGTCTAGAAGGTAGAAACTTACCACTTCTTGCAGTCTAAGCCAGGAACTTCAAAAAATCCAAGAGAGCCCTAAAATTTTTTGTGCCAAATTTTGATTATTTCTGTTCTCCTTTTTATTGTGGAAAAATTTCAAAACAGCCTTCCTTAGAAGGTATAGATCCAGCAAAAAGGACTCCGAACCTCTGGTTGAAACAAGTCCTAGGATCACGTCACCTGGCCAGTGCGGTTCCGCACTCTGCACACTTCCTTCAATGAGGCAACACGCGACACCCTCCCCCTCCCACCCTCTCCTAACCTTGTCTCTTCTTGCTGTCTCCCCTCCTGTACAGTTCATCCGTCTCAGGAGCCTGGCTGGCTGGAGGGGACTCTGAACGGGAAGACTGGCCTCATCCCCGAAAACTACGTGGAGTTCCTCTAAGCCTGGGCCCCAGCACAACTGCTGAGCTTTACATGGTATCCATGACAACCGCTGACACCAGTGTCGTAGGCCATTTCTGTTTGCCACTGAGAATTGCAGGGGACCGACTGTTGCTACCTGTCGCCACGAATGTTCCTGTGAACTCTCACGTCTCCCATCTCCGCCGTCATCTCAGCTGACAGTGATACCGCAAGAAGCAGAAGTCAATCAGCAGAGGCCGTTTGCTTTGGATGACAGGGAGGAAGGCTTGCCAAGCCAGTTTCTCATGGGTGCCCTAAACAGGGAGCGCTCATTTTTGTCTCAAGTGTCATCCACACCCCCATCCTCCTGAAACAGGAAGTGAGCTATCAGGAGCCCCCAAGAGCACATAGCATAGCGAAAGCCAGCCAGCCTAGGCAGAGAAACTGGCACTGAGGTCCGGGCTGGGCCCGTCGCTTTTGTTTACAGGAGGCTCTCCCTCTTCCTTTGAATACTTGAGACCCACAGTGCCGCAGGCAGCTGGGTCTGTCTGCATGCCGGGCGGAGAGGGGCGATGGCACTGTTTATGTAAGACCCAATCTTTCAGCATCTCTAAAGCAGCCACTGGGCCATCAGCAGCACAATTCAGTTCTTGCCTCTCATGCAAGGGAACACGCTCACCCCACGTTACCCACTCCCGAGCTAGGAACTTCCTGGCCACCACGGGCCACCATCATCTGGTAACCACGGCAACCCAGCCTACTCATAAACCAACCTCCAGAAAATAACATACTCTCTTTGCATGACACATTTTTCCCCCCTACTTCCTTCTCGATTGATTTTTGAATGGTTTTCCAAGAACTTGAAGGAAAGGATGGCAGAGTGAAGGTGGTCTGCTTAGGACAGACAGGATAGCAGCTGGAAACAGTTCCTTTTCTGCTGAATTTCAATCACATTTAAAATATATTCGGAGCAAAACCTAGTAAGCTCTTGAGATTCAATTACATAGAAGCCTCGTATCTCTATTCCTCCATGCCACTGGTGTTTGCTTTCTAGAGGAGAAGGTGCTACCTCCCAGTGGGTGGCAGCGTCCAAGGATGGGTCCCTCATGTCCTCCATTCACTCGCCCCTGCCCCGCCCGCCTCTAGCCCATCACTCACCAGCCCTCTTGCAGTGCTCTGGGCCCTTGGGCACTGGTGCCCTTTGGTTTTTAGCCATGCTTTCTGGGTCACCCTGGGACTTACAGTTTCAAAGGAGAATCTGCATTCACTGCCACTCAGAAGGGACTTGTTTCCTGGGACTCATGCACGAGGCTGAGGTCATAGGCACTGTGATTCAGGAAGACACCACCAGTGCAGGGCAGGGAGGATGAGCTGGATATCTTACGAGAAACAAAGTTGCCTGGTCCAAAGAGGCAGGGCCTTTGGAAGACCGCCTTGGATGGGGAGGTCCCCCTGGATATTTCGCATTCACAAAGTCCCAAAGAACAGAGTCCCCGTGTCTTCCACATGGGAAAGCCGTGGCGGGCATGGCTCTGGACAGACAAGCTCCAACCTGAAGGACGATCCAGCTCTGCCCGAGCCCTGCGGACGGCAGCATCGCTCTGGACAGTGTCCCCTGCTTCTGGAATTCCTTGTTAGGGAACTTTAAAGAAGGAAAGAAAAACTTGAATAGTGTTGACTTACTGTATCTTTTACTTTTTTTTTTTTAAAGATAAATTTGTAAATAGAGTGATTTGAAATACTATATGGCAAAGTTTTATATTTGATACTCTTTAAGCTAGTTGCTACCCACATGTAGGCTTTGATGGCTGAACAAGTGTGGTTGAGAGGGAAGGAAAGGAGGCCGGGGGAAGGGTACCCGGATTGGTGTGCCCCTCTGGCCAGGCAGAAGGAGACCCACCCCACCACCCGCTCTCTCTTGGTTCCCCTTGGAGGGCCTGACAATTGGTGGTGTTCCGTCTTCTTTATCCACCTGTGTTGTCAGCATTCCTCGGGGTCTGGATTTGGAGATGGAAAGGGCATCTTCAGGCAGTGAGTTTTTCAAAGAATGCCTACTTAGTCGTCAGACAAAGCTCAGGATTTAAATAGGTGGGGCCAGAGAGTAGATTTTTTCTGGTTTTTCTTCTCAGGTGTATTTCTTGCTACCCCCCAAGATATCAGGACAGAGGAGGTGGAATAACTGCTGTGTTCCCTTCTTCTGACATCTAGGGCTTTACAAATGAGGCTAAGCTAGCTTGCAATGCTGTACACATCTAAGTTCTAAAACACGACTGGTTTCTTGGAATCCTGAGCTCTGGGTATGTGGCTGCTTGCCTTTCCCTCGGCATGTATGTGTTCTTTCCTTTCACCTCCAGATTCCGTGTACCCCCCAGATAGGAGTGTAGACTGTGGTGGTGGAGTGTAGACTGTGCATTCAAGCTTCAGAGCTCGCAGGGTTTCAATGCTGCGGTTCACTATGCAGTGGATCAGCTCGAGGTCATACAGAAGCTCTCCCGGAACTCACCCGGGAGAAAGCAAGCCCCCACCGTGGATTCAGGGAATAAGACTTAAGAATGGACAAGGCTAAAATCTGTCACTAAGAGCCCAAGAGGAAAGTACTAACAGACTACTTGCTGCTCTCAGATCCAGGGATGAGAAGTTGGGAAGTGGGGACTCCCCGTGGGACAAGCACACTCACACACGTGCCAAAGGAAAGGAGGCCAGCATACTGACTTTAGTGCACTGGACAATTTGAATTGTCCCCTGGCCTCTTGAGCTCTTACCTGGATTTAATATGGAGGAGCAGAAGCCAGAGTCCCCACTTCAGGACCTCCTCATTGAAGCAGACCTGTAGACACTTGGCCCCAGCTGGAGTGCGTGGAAGCCTGTCCCTCCCTCCTGAGTGGCCTTGATGGCATCTGCTGCATAAGACCCCTTCCTCGCTTCCTGCAGCCATACCGGGCTGGTGGCAGGTGGTTGCTCTGGTTCCCTTTGTCCCACCAGGCTCTCCTCCTCCCCATTGGCTACAGAACTATAGGAACTGTTCAATGTGAGCCAACAAGTAGGAAGGAACTTGAAGAGTGAAAACAGATTGGGCTTTCTTCACCATCCATGGTTGCTACCCCTAACTCTGTCTTTGTAGGGATAATAGCAGGGACCATGACGGCAGACCAGGGGGATAGATCAGGTATCGCTGAGCTTTCTTTGGGGGCTGTGGAGATTGCTCACTCACTTACTCCTCCAGGTATCCAGGATTTCCTAGCCAGGGAATGCTGAGCCACGAGGAGATAACTCGTTCCAAGTCCTTGCCCCCAAGCAAGTAGAGTGCTGGTTTGCTCTTGGTGGAGAATACTGCGTTCTGTTTTTCAAAATAAACTCATTGAGATGAGTCCTGGACAGTGCAAGCTTCCTTGGTATAGAATGGAAGCCAGGTTCTAGCTCAGTGCAGATGGTATTTCTACAGCCAATATGTGTCCTCTGAGCATTAGACCCAACGGCTTGTTTTCAACCTAACTTCAGCTTGTCCCTTCTTGCTGAGTGGCTTTTGGACAGAGGCAAAGACAAAGAGAAAATGAGCAATGAAGTGGCAGATTGGCATTGGGGCTGAGCCGTGCTGGTGATGCGGTCATCTTGGGCGTTAGTCCAGGACGCCCTAGCGAGGGGAGGCCTTCTGCTCACTGAGTGTGTGCCTCAACAGCAGCATCCCCAGGCGTGCTGAACGGGCTCCCTTGACTGCAGGGACTGTGGAGGCACCATGATTGGGGGCTGCAGAGACAAAAGCAGCCAAATGTCGCTGTTTGCTCACTCATGACTGTCTGCGGGCACCTTTAATCTGCTGACTTTTGCTTCCAAAAGCAGTATTACCAAACTTTGTAGCTAGGGGACTCCCAGGTACAGCAGTGGTCACTGTGTCACCCATACTCTGCCCTGGTTATGAGTGACATGTCATCCAAGTAAGTTGCCAGCGCTGGAGCAGCCCCTTAGCTCCCTGACTTTGAAAGGAATGTCCCAGGTGTTCTGTCTAGGGCGCTGTCTCTCTTCTGGCAAACTTGACCATGATCAATTACCGTGACAACCCTGCCCCTCTTCTCTTTCAAGTTAGCCCAGAGTCTGCTCACACACCCTGTGCTGGTGTTTGAAAAATGTGTCTGGTCGTGTTCACATGTGCTTGGCAGCCATGCTGATGTGCTGGGTACCGAACCACTTCTCTGTAATTGTGACATCAAAATGACAACAGCAGGGCAGTGAAGGTTACGGGGTCCTGCAGCGTGGCTGAGACAAGACTCCAACAGGTGATAACTAGCCTCTTCCTTTGGCCACCTACAGTACTTTTCTAACTAAAGAGCTTCCCAAAGCAGAGGGAGAGGCTGTAGAGAGCATCTGATGGCATCCAGAGCCAGCCATTGCTGAAGTCTCATCTAAGGGCAGCGCCTCTGTGCCTGGGCAGAAGGATAGTGATTGATACCAGAAGCAGCGAGGAGGAACAAGGTGCATCACACTGAGGAACTGGGCTGGGCTTGGGATTTTTAGAGGAATAAATACTGTTCATCATAGCGAGAAAAAAACTATCCCAAGAAAGTTTCACAAGGAATGTTTTTACAAAAGTTTTTGCAGGATGTTACAAATGAAAATATCTTTTAAGGTGGAATGTCTCAGAGAGCAAACACAGTACCAGTCCCAGGCCCATGGCAAAGTAGCAATTGCTGCCATATCAAAATTCATGGCACTGGAGTCAGGGAGAACCAGGATACTGCTAACCAAAATGTCATGATTACTTGGAGCATTCCCAGAGAGGCTAAGACATTCGATGCCATTCTGCCTCGACCATTTCTACAGAGTTGTTCACACGGACACCTTCAAGCTGCTTTCTTGGGTATCCAGATGCCAGGATCAACCTTGCATCTGTGAAAACATCCGTCTGATGATTCTACAGAATATGTGTTCATATGTGTGTGTTGTGTGTGTGTGTGTGTGTATGTGTGCAGCACATAATCACTAGGTGAAGGTGCAGGCTCTCTCACAGCCACCCACGTGAGCTGGAAATTGCTGAGCCTGTCCAACCTTGAGAATCTGGAGTTTCAGAATTAGAGAAAAGGAAAGGCTGTTGGTTGAATTTTATTCATATTTATCCAATGGTTCCTATCTGCAGCAGCTATGTTCCTTATTAACTTATTTTTAAAAAGATGTTGGGAAAAAAAAAGATGAAACCCATAAATGCTTAGTAGTCAATGCTAGGCCAGTGTTCCAAAGCACTCTAAAAGACATCTTGTCCATGTTTTGGCTAAAGAAAATATTTGCATGTTTAATTCATAATTGAGGCTACCTTTGAGTATACCGTAAAGTGCTGTGTAATATAATATCAATAAAGTACTTATAAAATGGCACTTTAATGTTTTCTTTTTAAAAGACATAAATAATGCACTGTTTTAGATGTCGGCTGAGTATTGAGTATTGACTGGTACATAGAATCCAATTCTGTAATTAAAAAATCACCTGTGGCTAGAATAGAACTTTACCCCTATTATTAGAAAAACAGTTTTCCATGTTCAGGCTTTTTAAAAACTGTGCTTTTGTGTCTCTAAGTATATCTATAAAGAAAATACAGTTTCTGTCAAATGGCCTCTGAAACTTGGCTTTCTCACACTTGGTTGGTTTCTGTGACAATCTATGAACATGAAACGAGTGGAAGTATGATTTTTGAATTAAATGACTTTCCATTTGGTGGTACGTTTGTTTGCTTGTGTTTCTGATGAGAGTTTTGAGTTGGTAACATGTTTTAACATTTCTTCAAGTGAGCATATGTCGACCATTGTCAAAGGTCATGGGTCAAGGCTCCCTGGCTGTCAGTGACCAGCTGGGGCTGACCCTAATGAGTTCCAAGGAGCCTTGTTTTCCATTTACCAATAGGTGGGCACACTGCAGGGTGTGTTCATCGTGCATTTTAAACAATCCCCAGAGAATCCTCTTCCACTTAATATTTCTGACTGTAGCATATATACAAGGGGTCTTGAAAAAATCCATGGAAAATGTGTAGTATGAAGAAGATATGCATGGAGTTTTAAAAAAATGCTTGCAACAGCATAAACTTTTATTCGTATTTTCCACGAACTTTTTGAAGTCCCCTCATATTATTCTAACTAAATCTGATATTCTGGTCCATGCTGTTCCTGAATTTTGAGAACACCATATGGAATACTCAAAGCGCGAGGACATGGCAGCTCCACCACAGGGCTGGGGAAAAGCATGTGTATAGAACTGATGACAGGTCATCCTGGGCCAGCCACAGCCGCTGAGCCTTCTCGGGCTTCACAGCACCTGCAGGTGCGCTCCGAGTAGCGGCCTGGCGCCACACTTACCTGGAGAGGGCTTGCTGACCTGCTCAGCGAGGGGACTGGGGGACCCAGGACTCGGGAATCGGCGGTGTGATTTCTGACTTCAGAGGGCGGCTCTCTGAACGTGTGGGTCGCACGTGAGCTGCCTCTGTTGTCCTCGTTTGCACTAAGGCCCTGGTGTGCTCCTGTGAACAGCACAGGCTCACAGCACCTGCTGTCCTCGCCGAGTTTCCAGGCTCTGCGGGAAGCCTCCCAGGCCCTGGAGCCTGTGCCACGTGAAAGGTCACTCCGTATCAGGTGGGGCGCGCGCATGTCTGATTGCTCCGCGGTGAGAATGAAGTCTGTGGTGCATGTCTGTATCTTATCTGGGTCCTCAACCTTCCCGTCTTCCTACCTGAGCAGGTTTGCATTTTCCTTTTGCTCTTGGCAGCCACTCAGAGCGGGGCTCACACCCGTCACGTCCTGTGGTTTGGTCGGTGTTTTTGACTTGTTAGCTCTGGCTGCATGATCAGTCGCCTGTAAGAGCACCTTGGTTAGAAACTCACTGGATTGGCGCTTGAAATTAGGTCCACGTTAGGCAGTGCGTGTGATGAAAGATTTGCTCAACCCCTGAACATGCTTGCTCTCTTCAGAGTTCAGTCACAGCTTTCATTTCTTCTTTTTCCAGCTCTTTCTCAGCCTCCACTGAGATACCACACCTCTCTCCTACCCAAATGTGTCAATGTCATTGGCTCGCCCTGCTTTTAATAGCACTAAGCTAAGCTGCAAGTAATTAACTGTGCTGCGTTAGTCAGTAGTGGCTGACTTCAGCCTGTGCGGCAGCCAAGGGAGGCGCTAACCAGTGTGCTAACTGCAGGGGGTGGAAGCAGGGGGAGGTTCTGTGCTGGGGGGTGGGGGCTAGGAAGACCCTGCAGAGGCCCGCCTGCTGTCCCCAGTGAGTCCCAGGCAGTGGGACCAACACAGGGAATTTTTTAAGATGAAATGATCGAAACCAGACCCACAGTGTCTCACAGCAGCAAGCAGCCTTCCTGTCCCACTGTGTCTTGTGCAGTCTCTTTTGAAATTAACCCCACGAGCCAGCTGCAGCCTCTGTTGGCTGAAACCCAGGTAGCTAATCTGCCTTCCCACGGCCAGCTAGCGCGTCAGGGAGACTTCCGGGGTCCTCTCTTGTGCTCACCCTAAAGTGAAGATACTTGTTCTCCCACTGTGGCTGGATTAGCCCTTTACACGCCTGGGCAGTAGATTACCACCAAGATGTTTTTTTCATGTATTTACTGTTTCCTGCCTTCTCTGAGCCTTCGCAAAGGGTGGCTTCTTTGTTTTCCCGCCTTTTCTCCTCTGATGCCGTGTTTCTCCATCTTGGTACTTTGTGTGAATTTGTTATGAGATGCTTGAGGCCCGTCTTTCTGTCAATAAACAGTTCAGTGAGGACAGAGGCCACGTCTTCTTCATGCATCCACTCAGCACCTGCCCACGCCCTGGCACGCAGCTGGGGCCTCCTGGCTCCAGACGGGAAAGTACTGAACGCCGCTGGTTCTGCCCGCCTCTTCTGCTCCACAGAAATGGGTGCAGGACGGAAGCCAAGTGGCGGCAGACTCGGTGCTTGGACACTCAGTAAGTGGCCCATGGCGAAGTCCTCCACTTGTGCAGTACCAGGACTGGGGCTGCTCGGAGGAAGGCTTCCCACCCTCCCCTGCGACACACAGGGCCACATTCTTTCCCAGCTTCCTTGGCGGGTGCCAGCTACAAGAAACCATCTGGACGTCCTGCTGACTGAGGCCCGAAGACCCTCACTGTCTTCTGGGTGACGTGGGGGCTGTTTGTTGAAGCTCATTGAAAGCTAGGAGCCAAACCACATCAGAGTCACCCTGAACCTTGAAAGTGCTCCCTTGTAAAGACCCTCCAGGGAGTTTGCACAGTGTCCCACGGGAACTCGGTCTGCCGGCTAACACTCTCGCTAAGGGAATTTTTTGTGTTGGACTCCAGTTTCCCATGTTGCAGCTGAAGTCTGTTTCCACATTGGTTTCCCTCCTTCTGGAGAATAAGGGCCTTCCTCCTGTTAGAGCAATTACCCTCCTTTTTTTTTTTTTTTAAGTAACATATATATTTTTGTTTGAGCGACAGAGTTCTCGTTCACTGGTTCATTCCCCAAATGCCTGCAATAGCCAGGTCTGGACTGGGATGGGACAGAGACAGGAGTTGGGAACTCAGCCTGCATCTCCCACGGGAGTGGCAGGGGCCAAGTTACTTGAGGATTCACCTGCTACCTCCCAGAGTCTGCATTAGCAGGAACCTGGAGTCAGGTGCTAGAGCTGAGACTGAAACCTAAGTACTCCAGCATCCACCTCTAGGCCAAACACCAGCCCTGTGCCCTTGGTTTTTATGCATTCATCCAGCAGTCCCTTCTTGGCCACTCCTTGTATAGCAGGAGCTGCCAGAAGCAGAGAATGTAAGACATGGTCTCTGTCCTAAGGAAACTCAGTGGGCCTCTGCAACAGGTAAGTGAGACCCGAGGAGTGGCACGTGCCACGTGCCATTGCCGTGGTCACAGTAGCCCTTTCTACGTGGGAGGTGGCAGCCAGAGAAAGTGCCACAGAAGAACATTCAAGACAGACCTCGAAGATGAAGAGGAATTTGCCACTGAGGCAGATGGAGAAGTGTCCCGAGATTCTAAGGGAGCTTGAGACACTGACAGAGGTAGGGGAGTGTGATCTCACTGCGGCTGGAAGGGGAGGAGGCAGGGCCTTCCAGACAACTGGAAACTCTCTCACCCTTGCCTGTTCCCATCTTGGGTTTTTAGGCTTCTGTCAACGACAGTATGAAAAGTGTTGATGAATAATGTGTTTTATGAGAAAACCTCATGGATTTCCATTTTTTTGCACCACAATAAGCACCTTTCAAGTCTACCTTTTGAAGTGCTCTTGGATTAGCTCACAGGGATGCCTTCTCACTGGGCTCCAACAGTGTAGCTCGCTGAGTCCTCCCGATGTATGAACACGCTGCTGTAATTACCTCCATTTTTTCCGTGAAAAGACTGGGGACGAGAGAGCTCACCCCAGCTGGAAGAGGGGACCCTAAAGTGCCAACACAGGTCTCCCTTCTGGAGCCCGTGTGGCCTCTCAGAGCTCCGGTGACGGCGCCCTGCAGATCCACACGCGTGATTTCACAGTAACACACACACACAGTCACATCGCACAGGATTATTTTTAGATGTGGTGGAAGTTTTCCCTTCCGTTTCTGATGTGGCTCCTCCATTCCCCCGCGCAGCTTCCCCCGCCCTGTAACCGTTGTCAACAAACTTGGCCTCGCTCCTCCAGGAAGCACAATCTGGCAGATGCTCAACTTTGACTTTGCCGTGGCAGAAGTAAGAGCAGGATATGTTTCCATTCAAAACTCTCTCCTCCCAGGAGCCTTTGCTCACCCATCTTGGGTGACTGCTTCCTTATTCCCGGGGCTCTGCAGATACTGCTGCTTCCCTGCACGGCCCTCCAGGACTCCAGCTTTAGCCCAGCCCATCACCCTTGAGCCCACAGCATGGGCGAGCCATGTTTCACTGGCTAGATATGCATGCTGTGAAAATTTCTAAAAAATTAACAATTTGAAAACAGTCCCTTTCTCCACCCTGATCCAGCTGCTGATCACAGACCTTCAGGCTTTTTCTGGGATTGCCAGGGCATGTGTCTTGTGGGAGGAACCACTGTTCTAGCCCAATCTGCTAATACTCAGAAATGATTTTCAGATTATTTTAATCTCCTCTTGACCCAATGAGGTTTGAATAAGTCAGAGCTAGAGGGGAGGACATGACACAAAGCAGATGATGAGTGAGTGTCTCGGGGTGCACTGAGGTCACTCCTAGAGTGAAACCCTCGGCCATGTCTCCTGTGGTCCGTGGTAGAGGCTGAATTGTTTCCTGTCGGGTGACAGTGATGAAGCAGGTCTGGTGCCAAGGACTGACTTCCATGTAACAGGCATTGTACTAATGGCCTTACGCACACCATCTCGTTCAGTTCTCAAACCATCCAGATGGAAAGGGTACTGTTGTTAACTCTGTTTTGCAGGTGAGGAAAGCAAGTTTTAGACGGGCTGAGTTGTTCATAGTCACTGAATTAAGAAGGGACAAAGGATGGACCCCAGCTGGGCCCAGAAGTTAGACTTCTACTCTGTCCTAGCTCTGGGGAGGGTCTCAGAAAAGCTCCCACCCCCAAAAGCCCTTTACTTCTCCCACCCAATGAGAATATTGATTTCACCTGCATGGCATCCAGGTGCCAGGTTCTCTTTGGGAGAACCACCCATTCCCTCAGGCCCCAACCTCAAGGGTTGGCTTGGCTGGCATCAACTTGCATCCAGCAGTGACCGTGTGGCCCTGATCTGCTCTAGGACATCATCAATCCACCC